AGTCCGCAGTGGCGGCGCTCGGGGAATCGAAGGAGCAGCTGTTGCCGAGGGCGAACTGTGAGCCTTCCCAGCAGACGCAGATTCCGAAGGCGCACTTGCTGCCGCGGCAGCCTGACCAACGCCCGCCGCGGCATCTCCAGGACGAGCCACCAAAGAAAAAGGCGCGCTTAGAACCGCAAGCAAAAAGAGGGCCGCGGCAGCCTGACCGACCCCCGAACTACGAAGCCCTACTGCACACGACGCCGAAGCCGAGCAGCTGCGTACCGCCCGCGCCGAAACGGGAGGCACGCAGCGCCCTCGCGTCGACGCGAGCGCATCCTCCGTGGGCGGCGGAGGTGGCCAACGCGCGTTTGACGGACCAGAGAAGTAGAGCTTGGATCCAAGTGGAGGACGGCAGGGGCAATTTCGGCGACTTCGTGGAGCGCGGCGCTCCGCTGCTGAGCGCGCGCGCTTACTGGCGAGCACCGGATCAGCATCCGCGTCGGCGAGCCCCTGCGGATCCATCGGTTACCTTTCTCACGGCCGTAGTGACGGCCACGGCCGCAGTGGAAGACGTCGAGGAACTGCTGGATAACCCAGCGAACACCCTCGCGCTCACCCGGGGCCCGCTGCTCCTCGGCCACCCGCAGACGCGCGACGCGGAAGCGAGGGAAGTGTTGCGTCGGCGCGCGCAACTGAAAGGGCAATTCGAGGACGCAGCGGCGGGCGTGGTAGCGAACAAGAGAAGACGAGCTGACGACGTCCACTGGGAAATAGTTGACCTCAAAGAGAGGACAGGAATCGCGCTCTACCAATCCCGCGTCGTCGAAACGCTACGAGTTATGCAGCGGGAAAACGCGTGCGCCACAGACGACGCGCACGTCATGGCGATCTTCGACGTCGCCCTGCGCGAGTCCAGCCAGAACCCTGGCGCGCATTTCAGAATGGCCGTGCCCGCCCGCCACAGGTTCGCCCGCGGCCGTTGCGACGGCCCCCGCCGCGGCCTTCATTCCGCGTGGCCGGGGGACTTCTGCGCGGACATCGTCGAGGACCTGCTGCGCTGCAGCGTGCGCATCTTCATTGGGTTCTTCGATTGCGACGAACGCGCCTTGCATCGCATGGCTGCAGTTGCGGCCTCACCGCGGGGGGCAAGCCCTTCCACGCCGTCTTCCGCAAAGACTGGGGGCCTGGCGTGTTTGACTATGCCATCCACCGCAACTTTGCGCGCGTGCTCGGCACGCGCGACCCGCAGTGCCCCGTCTGCGGAGAGGAAGGAGGGCAGGTGGCGGTGCTGGTGCCAGAGTGGCTCCAGCCTGTCGCCTCGGGGGCCCCGATCGAGTTCCGAAGCAGCTGGCTCCGGCGTTTCAGTTGCAGCTCCCTGCCGCAGTGGGGCGACGCGCCGATGGCGAGTGCGCAGTGGCTTACTGCTTACACTGAGTGTCTCGAACAGCTCGAAGAGGGCACGCGTCCAGAGGATCCACTCGAGGCACACCGCATCGCAAGGTTGACGGGGACAAGGCAGAACTTCTTCCAGAACGCGCACAACGGCTTGCGCCCGCTTCCGAACCTGGGGAAGGTGGTCTCCAAGCGGCGCAGGGGCGACACCTTCGTCTCGCACTGGCTCCGCGGCATTCACCAGAACATGATCTTCATAGGCCACGGCCGCCAGGGGCGTGGATCGAGGCAGACTGCGAGCGAGCAGCGGCGCAGCTGGAGGAGGGCGCATCAGAAGAATAAGAGCCGCACTGGCGGCTGGCGCCAAGAGGCGGGCTCGCGCCAGAGCGCTCAGAGTGGCGCGACTCGGGTGGGAAAAGAAGAATCTCCTGTCGTCGCCGTTGTCACTGTCACCATCGCCGTCGTCGTCGTCATCGTCACCACCGCTGCCCGAAAGTTACCGGGTATACTAATTAATGGTGGTATACGATCACATGTTTCGGTACTTACACAGTAGACGAGTATGTGTACATGTTTTAACGACTATTACATAGTCATGTGTAATCATATATATATAGTCGAGGTCACCTACAAATGATCAGACCTGTCATTATTATTTCCATCGTGTAAACACATACTTACACATATAATGAGTACGACAGTACATGTCTGAAACTATGCGCACGCTGCCGCTGCGAGTTCAGCGGCGCCGCCGCGCGCCCGCGCTCACCAAGGAGGTCTGCAGTGGCGGGCCGCAGCCGAAGCTGCCTGCCGGCAAAGGCACATGGGCAGCCTGTCCGACGATAACATGTGCATCTACTGCGACCGCGAGCATGCTGTCCCATTCCACATTCCTGACGCGACGCTGGAATGTGGAATGGGCCCCATTTGCGATACATGCCGCCGCGAGGCCTCGATCGACGGCATAGAACACATCGACCGCAAGCGCCTGGCTCGTTTCCTGGCGGCCGCGCGCGTCGCGGGCCGTGCAGGAGATTTCTGCGACATCTTCCTTGTGGATGGGGCTGGGTTGGGCGAGCTGCTCGCGAAGTGGTGAGGCGCTACCGCAGCTACGTTCCAAAATGTCCGCAGCGGCGGGCGCCAAGTCCCGCGTAGTCCCGCCACCGAGGGCGACGTTGCGCTTGGTCCCGTCACCGAGGACGACGCCGCAGCGGCGGCCCCAGAGTTTGACGACGCACGAGACTGGGGGGGCTTCTACGTGGCAAGCGTAATCGAGGCCGCGGAATCGGAGCGGGGCGCCGCATCGTTGGGGCACGGGTTCGTCGATGATGGGCGCTGGGCGCAGTGGTGGGAGAGCGCGCGCGACCGTGAGGCTTACCATGCCAACCGAGATGGGCGAACGCCGCGCTGGTCGCACGACGGCTTGCCGCCTGAGTCGTTCGCGCGCGCCTTGCGCGAGATGCGCTCGCCTATCGGTCGCGCAGGGGTGCTCCGTGCGAGAGGTGTGCTGGCGCATGCAAGGCAGCGCGCGCTCGATGCCGAGCAGCGGCTGCAAGGGTCTCAGCTTGCGTGGCACAAAGCGGTGCGCATCGGGTTCATGCACAGGGCCTGCGCGAGGGCGCCAGTGGCGCAGGGTCGCATGGTCGCAGCGGCGCGCCTGGCCGTAGTGGACGACGCCATGTTTGCCGCAGGGGTTGAGGAATGGGAGACGTATGAGTTTGATACGTATGAGGGCGCAAGAAGCATCTTAGCCACCATGACGAACGGTCTTCAGAATCCAGTCTCCCGCTTCTACGAAAGACAGCTGAGCTCATGGTCGAGGTACCACCAGGCGCTCCATGACGGCGAGGGCGTGGACTTCGACTCGCAGGGCATTCCAAGACCACGCGACGACGACGTGGACTTCCCCGTCAGCGACTGGTCGGAGGAGCAGCGAGCGGAGGAATATTACAGGAGATGCCTGCGCGCCTACTACAAGGAAACCTATGCGATAGAACCGCCACCAGGGATGCCTCGAGGACACCGACCAGGGGGCAACAGGCCGTAGCGGCGGCCGCACTGGCACCGACACGGCTGTATACGACGGCGCGAGCGATCGTCGGAGCAAGAAGGGATGGCCACCGCCATCGCCATCGTCGACGTCGTCATTATCATCATCCGTCGCCGTCGTCCTCGCCAAACTTCCCACCAACTCATGACCACCTTCGCCAATATATCATCATTACCACATCCAGCACCATCAACATTACCATCACCATCACCTCCGCCACCACCATCATCACCAGCATCATTAATTATCATTCTCCTCATCACCACCACCAACAATCAACCGTATAACCATCATAATTTTAGTATTGCAACGACCTAACATCATAATCAAACATCACCACTATCATCATACCCAAACATCATCATCACGATCACCATCGCCACCGCCAGCATCAACACCGCCATCACCATCGCCACCGTCATCACCACCACCGCTACCGCCAACATCACCATCACCATCCCAAGCCTGCTCTTGAGGCCCCAACATTTTGAGTGGCGCCGCTGATGGCCCCGCGGCGGCCATGCAGCCGGCGCCGCCCCGCCGCCCGATGGGTAAGGAAAGTGCGCAGTATGAGTGCGCCGGCGCGGGGGCGGGCGCGGGCTTTTTTCCTCTCCGAACCACGAATGGCTGCAGACAGCCGAGCATGCGTCTGCGCATGTGGTTATATATGCATCGACGGCGGCAGGGGGCGCATGGTAACGACTCGCATTCCTCCTCATTCCTTTCTTAGTATTATTACGATCAGTACTGTTGGTATTCGCAATATCAACCTTATTGCCAGTGCCACTATTATTTTTGTTATCATTATTCGTATTCGTGGTATCAGTGCCATTCGTTTTCGCATCTTCGTATTATGTTTAGAGTACTAGCATGAGCGTTCGTACTAGCATTCTTATTCTCATTATCATTAATATGAGCATTCGAATTACTAGTATTAGTCGCACGTTTTTTTTCTTTTTTTTTTCAAAAATAAAAAAGTTCCCCCCTCCCCCGAACTACGGTTGTGATTCGTAGAATTTAGATTCACCGTCTGATTAATTATGACAAGTCCTTACTATGTTTCTTATGTAAGGTATTCAGTATACATTATGAGATTCGGCACTACTATTACCATTGCAAATGTTCGAAGTGTTACTCAATTCTTATAACCTTGAATCTACGGTTCTACGTATTAGCAATATGTGTCTTGGTGTTATTCCTCCTCCTTTCCTCGTCCTCCTCCTCCTCCTCTTCCCCCTCCTCCGCGCCCTCGTCCCCCCCCCCCTCCCTCCTTCCTCCTCATCCTCCTCCTCCTCGCCCCCCCCCTCCCTCAGCCTGCGCCGCGGCCGCCCGGGCTCGCAGACGCGACGTTGCACTGCGCGCCCGGAGGGCCCGAGCGCGCCAGCCGCGCCTGGTGCGGGGCCGGTGCGCTGGCCATGAGTGATGAAACAAAAGGCGGCGGGGCAGCTGAGGTCGCGGCCGCAGCGGCGGCCGAAATGAAAGAGATGCGGCTGGGCAACGAGCTCAGGCGCCGTTGCAAAACTGGCTCGAAGCAAACGATTCCAGTGCGATTGCTGGGGCCACACCCCGCTAACAGGGTTGGCGTGTTCCGAAATTATAGCAGAGTGCGTTCGCTGGCGCGCGAGATCATCTGCGTCGGGCCCCACCAGGCGGGGGCCGACTTCGAGGGGGCGTGCGTCAGGGGCCTTCCCGCGGAGAAGCAGAAGTACATGGCGGGGTACACCTCGCTCACGGAGAACTGCAGGGGCAAGGCCAAGGGGTGCCTTAAGGAAGTATGCAGCCGCAGTGACGGCGAAGTTCTCTACGGCGCGCTTTCGTGCGCGCATTTGGCAATCACTCTGCGGGCCATCGACGCGGGGGCAAAGTGGGGGACCCTTACAGACGACCTGGCCCCTTCGCAGGTGGCAATGCTGCAGCCCATGTGCGAGGTCGGCGCAGGCTTGCTGATAATGTCCGCAGTGGCGGACAATGACCCTGCGGCGAGGAAGCTCGTGAAGGAGGGGGTGCTCCACGAGGCGCTGGACCCTGATGTCATGCTTGGCGAAACGAACTGCTTCATCATAGCCCAGGCCATTAATCGGCCACAGGCGTTCTCCATGCGGATGTCGGAGCTGGAGGCGATGAAAGTATTCCCTTCAGAGATCAAGAACGCAGAGGAGGACGGCAGCGACACAATCACCTACGAGAACGCGATGCAGGCGGCAGGTGCCCGACTGGGGAGCCCCCCCTCCGACCCCTCCTTCTGCGACTTCTTCAACTTCATCCTGAACCTGGGCGCCGATGGAGGCCCTCGCGCGCGGGAACTCATCGACTTCGTCGAGACGTACGTCAATTCTGCTACGAGAAGGTTGCGCCTGCCAGCGTTCGGCCTCGCGGGCAAGGTGAGCGCGCAGTTCCCCCGCGCGAGGGTGGCCATCATCCCGCGGTCCTGCAGGTTGCCGCCCAAGAAGGCTTCCAAACAGACGGGGGCGCCGGGCTGGCGCGCCGAGCCCGAAGCTGCGCGGAAGCAGCCAACCCTGGAGCCGCAGTTGCGGCTCATGGCGGATGTTCTCAACGTGACCACATGGCCCTGAGAACCGACATCGCGAAGCACCTGGGCAACAATGCCTCGGCGGTGGTTCAGTTTCTGACCAACATCAACATCCAGTGCGCCAGCGCTATGGCTGTCGCGGTCAAGGCGACCAACCCCTCGACGGCGAAGGCCCGCCAGGCGCTCTTGCATGGGCGCAGGGCGGCGCGCGCGAACGCCCTGCCGACAGAGCAAGCTGCCGCGCTCATGGCAGCCGTCCAGGCACAGGGGGAGTGGAATTGGTTCGACTTTGCAACGCTGCCGCCCGAAGGAAAGACAACCGCAGCGTCGGCTCAGGAAAAGGGGGGCGGGGCCGCCGCGCAGCCCGCGGCGATCGCTTTCAACGCGATCACTGGGCGCCCCGATAACGAACAGGCCACCGTTAGGAAGGAAGAGAGGCCAGCGATGTGGTTGCCACTGCCAGTCGCAGAGTGGCTGGGCCAGGCAGCCGCCAGGGACATGGGCAAGACGGATGCCAACATGGGAGCGGTGCTGCGCGTGCTACGGGAGAAGCACATGGCGCTCTGCTCGCGCGTTGAACAGGGCAACATCGAACCTACCTGTGGCCCTGAGCCGCCGCGCAACGACCAACAAAGTGAAAGTGTGCACCAAAGCCGCAGTGGCGGCTGGCAAACTCGCGTTGCGGCCACGCGTGCCGAAGCAGAACAAAGTTCACGACGCGAGCAGCCGCAGAGACAAGGTCCACGTGGAAGCGCGGGCCAAGAGCCCAGAAGGGCCTGCGAAGACTTCGTTCTACATGCATCCAGAGTTTGCCGCGCCCGAAAGCAAGACACCCTACGATGTGGAGGAGACGGGCCCCGCTCAGCGAGAGTGGAAGTGGGCGGGCAAGGAGTCCATGCGCCCCTTCTGGGCCGTGACGAAGCTCACGGCCGAAGAACTTGGAACGCGAAGCGTCGCTGAAGCAGAGGCGGGGCGATCGCGTTTTAACGTGGAGCTCGCGCCGAAGGAAGTGAACATGGTCATCTGCGGTCTGGTCATCTGCGCCCGAATCCCAGCGACGACCAACGCGGTGGATCTCCAGGCGGGCGAGGAATTGATCATGGAAGACACGTGTGAAGAGGAAGAAGGAAGCGGCCCCAACCGACTGGAGGACAGCCGCGAAGAAGGCCATAACGAAGGCGAAGAGCCAGCCGCAGCAGCGCAGAACCGTTTTCGACGAAAATGGCCGCCGGGACATCTGGAGCGGAGGACGCAGTGGCGTCCATGTTCCGATGGGCGCAGTGGCGCCCATGCTCCGACGCGGGCGGGGGCGCAGGCACGGCGGCGAGAACAATGAGGGGCGCAGGCGCGGTGAAGTGGGGGGGGCGCCCCCTGGCCCCGGAACCTGCAGCGGCTGCTGCAGCCGTTGCAGAATCCGGGGCCGGGGGGCTCTCCCGAGGGGGGCCGGCGCCGGAAGGGGCCGCCAGAGGCTTCGATGGCGCCGGGGGGAGGGGGCGGAGGAGAGGGGGAAGAGAGGAGGAGGAGGGGGGGGGGAGGGAGCAGAGAGGAGAGAGGAGAGAGGAAAGAGGAGGGAGGAGGAGGAGAAGGATGAGGAAGCGGAGGGCGGGGTGGAGGAGGGGGAGGAGGAGGAGGGGGGATGTCGGACGAGCAGTGCGGGGGCACGGTGGGAGGGAGGGGTGACGGGCAGCGCCGCGTGGCAGGATGGGGAGCTGGAGAGCAATGCTGCGCGGTGCCGCCGCAGCGTATCGGCCCCAGCGCAGCCGCTCGTTCCCTTCGGCTCCGCTTGCGCGGCGGGCGACGCAGTGGCGTTCATGGGGAAGTCGAAGAGCGCGCGCGCTTCCCCCCAGTGGGAACCCGCGCAGCTGGGCGAACGATTCTCTGTCTGGGGCGGTCGGTTGACAGAGCCGCGCGCTCTTAGAGACCAAGGAGATCTCTACCGTCACAGGGCGCGTGAAGTTCGTCCACTTCTCTGGGCCTGCCGTGGGTTGTACATGCGCTCGGCTACGCTCTCAGGAATTCAAACGGAAGGAGATCGTGGACGCGTTCAAGGCCACGGCGCGAGCCGAGGGCGCCGCAGCGGCGGCTGGCGAGGACGACAAGGGAGAGGGCGCCATTGACGCCATGGGCGCCCTGCTCGACCTGCTCGATCCCGCGGCGGCAGACGCGATCGCGAAGAAGAAACAAGAGGTGCTGGGGCGCATCATTGTTTGTTCCGCGCGCGAGAAGTGCCCGCTCGAGTTCCCCGAGATGACGGACGAGAGGGAGGCGTGCCTAATCTCGTTCAAGAAGAGCGAGCACTGGATCCGCGAGACGGACGTGCCCTGGCTCTTCGAGCGGCTCAGGTCCGAGTGCGATATGGTGGGGGCCCCTCTGGTTCAGAACCCAGACGAAGACTACGCCGCAGCGGCGGCTGCCGTCAACGGGGCGGACTCGCAAGATAGCCTGCCCTCTGGAGAGAGCGCGGGCTCACAGGCACCGACAAAAGCCTCCAGTCCACCGGTTCCTGTGGACCAGGCGGTCAGCGCCCGGGGCGCCGTGCGCGCCGGCTACGCGCGCCGATGGCTGCTCCCCACCAAGGAATGCAAGGGCGCGTGGGAGGGGGCGGTCACGCGCGCCGGGGACTTGCGCGGGAAGGTTGCCGTGTGCCAGCTGGCCACTTTCACCTGCGCGAAGTGGTCGCAAGGTTACAGTGGCGACGAGCCCCCCTGCGCGTGGCACAGGGCCAGTCGCATGCAGAAGAAGGGGGCCTGCAGGCTCTACCTGGGCGCGCGCATGGCCGCGTTGATGCAGGCGCTTCCTGCAGCCTAAAGCCGCAGTGGCGGCTCCGTTCGGTACCTAACCATTGTCCTGCGGCGGGGGCCGCGCTCGCCTTGGGGCTCTCATCGGCGAATCGCGGCGGCGCAGGCGCAAATGCCAATGAGACTCATTCACAAAGTGATGCCTTGACGGTCCGTGAGGAAAACACGGCCCCTGCGCCCGCCCCCCCCCCTGCTTCTCGCTTGCTTCTCCGCCTGCTCCTTTGCAGCCAATGGTCTTATTCCCCTTGCCCTCCGCAGTGCGCCTCTTCCTGCTTGTTCGTCTGCGACGCCCTTTTCGCGTCGAAGAGCTGCTCCAAGGGGCGGCGGTGCGCGCGCGCAGGGGGCCTGCGCGAGCGACGCCTCCCAAGCGCCAGCCAGATGGCACGCGCGTTTGCACGTGCCGCAGCCTAGGCGCGCGATGGCACGGCGTGGGCGTGATCGCGGGGGGGAACTTCGAGTGCGAGTGGGCGAATAACCCCGAGGCGCAATCCCTTCCGCGCATGGCGCAGTACGGGAAGACAGGGGTGGCAAACATCTGTCGCCGCAGTGGCGGCGCCCAGGTGCCTGTGGGCTTGTTGAAGGCGCGCCGCTGCTTGCGCGAACCGTGCCATGCAGACTGGCCAGCGACCCAGTTTGGCATCGCTCCCCCCCCCCCCCCGCCGCGCATCGCCGACCGACAGATTGGCGCCCATCGGGGGCAGCTGCCCCTGAGCAAGAGAGGCGCAGCCAGCGCCAGCTGCCGCTGCGCTTGAGCCAGCGGAGCCAGCAGCGCCGCAGCCAGGGACGGCGGCTCCGCCTCTGCCACCCCCGAAGGAAGCACCCCTGCCAGAGCTACAGCCAGGGGGGGCGCGCCTGCCACGCGCAGACGCGGCAGCGCCAGCGCCAGCGCCGCCAACGCCAGATAAGCCAGCGCCAGGACCGCCAACGCCAGAGCCAAACCGTGAGGAGCCAAAGCCTGGGGAGGCAGAGCCAGGGGTGGCAGAGGGGGGCAGAGGAGGCAGAAGAGGCAGAGGAGGTAGAGGAGGCAGAGGAGGCAGAGGAGGCAGAACCAGAGCCTCAGGAGGCCAAAGAGGCAGAGGAAGCGGAGTCTGAGGGAATCCGCAGCCCCCCGCCCACGCCGCCAGCCACGGGGGCTCCTGCTGTACAGTTGGCCGGGGTGCAGTGGCGAGCTCCCTGCGCCCGCCGCCCGCGGAGCCGGCGCCCGCCCCTCTGCGACGTCGAGCTGCGGCCCCTCCCTTGGCCAAGGGACAGGGGGGCTCTTCGAATGCGGCTTTTGGCGCAGCGACCCCCCCTCGGCTGGCTTCGGCCTTGGGTCGAGCGAGCCCGCCGCCGCGGAGGTGGTGGGCGCGGGCGCGGAGGCGGTGGGATCGGGCTCCGACCGAGCGCCGACAGGGCGCCGCTCAGGGCCGCAGTGGCGGCCTCGACAGGGCACCGCTCAGCGCCGCAGTGGCTGCCGCCGCGCCGCTCAAAGTGCTGGCTCTGGCTCGGGAGATCCTCGCGAGCGGCGAGTACGTCGGGCACTCCGCCTTCGTGCTCTTTGGCCTGCGCTGCAACGTTCGCCCACTGATGTGGGAGGGGGGGGGGCCTCATGGACCTCCTTGCCATCTTGCGCCACCCGGGCGCTGGAGACCTGTTGCGCGCCCTGCGCCGTGGAGGGCGTGGCGCGCGTCCTCCGGCCAGGCGCGACGTGGTCCGCAGTTGCGGACCTTCTGCCCGTGGGCGATCTGAAGGATGCCATGGGCGAGCCAGTCAATTGCCTCCAGAACGTCAATCACTGGGTGGCGGCCGTGATCAGCGGCGGGGGTCACGAGGGCGCAGAGGCGGCCGACGAGATGAACAAGTTCTACCAACATCGGGCGCGCTTCGTGCTCGGAACTGTCTGTGGCGGCGACTGCGGCATTGACGTCGTGACGCAGATGCTGGAGATGCCCCAAGACGCGGAAACCCGGGCCCGCATCCGCAGGGGGCTCTACGAGTACGTCATGAGTCGGTGCAAGGAGCCCTGGCTGCACGACATGTTGGTGCTCACTCAGGAGCTCGCAGCGGAGCAGGTGCAGAAGTTTCGGGAGTCCGAAGGCGACCGCGACGACCTTTGCTTCGAAGATCCTGGTGGCGGAGGGTCACGGGCAAGAGGGGCCAGTGGCGGTCACCCTCTCGCCTGCGCACGAGAAGGTCCCCGGCATTTTGGAGGCGCTGCAGTGGTCCTGCGGGGTCTGCGACGTCGGCGTGGTGATGTCCATCGCCGACAGACTGCCCGCCCCCGCGCAGGAGAACAGGTGGCCGCGCAGAAAGAGGGCCAACTGGCCCCCAAGAAGCCCAAGCACGGCGCACCCGTGTGGCGGCGCATCAACCCGCGCATGATCCGGGACCGCGACGTAGCGTGCAAGGCGTACACGCAGCACCTACAGGAGAGCGGGTCGGACGGCAAGGGCAAATCTTCATATCGCCCCAGGAAGACGTTCTTGGCCAAGTTTGAATGGCCCAAGGGGTGGAAGTGCACCAAACAGTCGTGCACCGTGTCTATGACAAGGGTAAAGAGTCCAGAAGACGCCGCAGTGGTGGCGGTTGTCGAGCGCCCTCTACGAGTGGTGGCCCCACATGCGCTACGCCGTGGACTGGAAGCGCGCCACTGCTGGAGTTGCACAGGAGCAACGACAGAGCAATATCGCCAGGTGCACGCAGGCTCCCTCGTCTCTTTGTCCACCTCCCCGTCCTCCTCCTGCTCCTCCCCTGATTCCTCTTTGTCATCCAAGTCCAGTTCTTCTCCTTCCTCCCCCGCAGGCCCTGCTGGTCACCAAAGCCAAGGATCTGCTCACGACGTGCTGCTCGGAGGCACTGGCGCGGGGGATCAGGCCTGCGGCGCCGCAGTTGCGGCCCAGGTGGTTCAGGAGGTGGCGGAAAGACTACGGGCTGAGCTTGCGCAAGCCCAATCGCAAGTACAAAGTCTCGAAGCGGCTGCTCGCCTCGCGCTTCGAGACCATGATGCTGAACGTCGCGAGGGGGAGGACCGCGGCAGGGGGACTGGTCGAGCGCGACCCGCGCGTTCTCAACTGGGGCCAGAGCCCGCCCCACCACAACGAGTCGGGGACGGCGTCCACGAAGACCCTGGCCGTCAAGGGGCCCATAGTTCCGCTGATCGAGGGACGCGACGACAGCAAGGCCAGGTGGACCGCAAACCTGGGCGTCTCCTCGGACGCGCAGGACTTGCCCGAGAACGGGCCGCCCCCAGCAGAGTTCATGTTCAGGGGGGTGACAACATCGAGGCCACCCTGGGGGCCCACGTCCGCAGTGA